GAAAGGTGAAGAAACAAAAAGGTACAGAACCAAGTGTCAATACAGCAATTTGAGAGCAGAGGGGGCTCTCTTAAACCTTGTCCTGCTTTTACCTTTGATAGAAATGTTATATGGACTGGAGAGAGAGAGCGGAGGAACAGGAGACTGGAGTCACGGAGATCCCCAAGGAGGCACAGAAACAAGGCCAGGCACTAGGAATACTTACTGTGGAAAATGGGTGGGCTTGGATTGATTAGCAGCCAGCGATAAACAGCGAGGGAGGAAATGATGACAGTGTTCAGGTTTCTGACTTGGCAACTGCGTGAAGAGTGGTCCATTTTAGAGTAGTCACAGGGAGTGCAAGTAGGGAGCAGACGGAAGGAACGGTGGTGGCGGGCACGCACATTCTGTCGAGAGCATTTGCAGATGGAGGTCCCTGTGGCAATCCAGCGGGATGCCCGGAGCAGGCACTGGGTAAGGCCGGGAGCACGGAGGGCATGGTGTAGTAGTGAAGAGAACACTTAACATTAACTCCAGACCCCTGACCATGATCACAATTAATGATTTAAATTGGTGAAGCAGGAAGAGGGGACCACTGTTATTAACTCTGCTTTAACTGTGGGCAGAACACTTCATGTCTTTGGGTCTTAGAATCTTTATCTGCAAAACAAGGGGAGTAGAACACATATTTGAAAGGTTCTTCTGGGGGTTCTCTTTATATTTAGTTAAGAATTATGTATGGACTATTACATAAATACTATCAGCAGGTAATCTGGGAGTTTATCTAATTGACCACAAGAGGGAGAACCTAATTGCACATTAAGTCATTTATGACAATGTAAAATAATTGCAAAGTACTTGCTGCATGAAGCTGGTGATAAGCTGTCTCACTTCTCCTTCCTTGTGGAAGTTGAGGGAATTTGACAGCCAGAGACAGTTTTAACTGAATTGAAATGTGGTTTTTGTGTTGCTCAAGTTATAATAATGTCACTAAATGTAAAACTCTATTTGTGTTCACCAATAAATCTCTATCAATGCATTCAGATGCTTCTTTAATTAAAGTGAAGACAGTAGAATTAAAAAATTTACCCTGGGAAGGTTTTTCCCTCCAAATAACATTATTTTAGTTATCTTTCAGGAAAACTATAACTTTCCTGAAAGTCTTTGGTTACTCTGAAGCATAAAGTCATCAATATTTCAGTCTATTGTATAGATCTGCATATTAAAACAAAGGGATTTGAAGAATGCTGGTCATACGTTTAAATGTTACATGTTCATTAAATATGAGTTTATTGTTACATAAATGTTTAATATTATATATTTAGACTTTAAAAACTCATTTTCTGTTTGGGTTAACTTTTGTACTCTGGTTTCATGTAAAGTTTTATTGTAAGGAAACTGTAACTCTCATTTATAATTTGAGAATTAATTACCTTATGAATCTTTCTAAGGTTTAATGAGTTACATTTTTTGACTTGATCAAATTAACTTGTATTTGTAGGGTATGAATATAACATTTCTGCATTTTATGCCATATTTCCAAACATATACAAGCTAATGAGTGTTGTTCTCTTTAAAGACATAATATTAGTGAGCTATTTCAGAATTTCAATAATGCATCTGTTTACTGGTAGCATATTTGAGTGTTCCCATAGAGACAGTATTACACTCTTCTAATATGTTCAGTGACAGCAGACCTTTCTTCGAGAGTGAGGGCAATATTTAAAAACAAGCATATCTATGAACAAAGGTTAAAAATTAAGTCATGAATCAAGTTGGAGTATACATTTTTAGGGGATCAAAAAACTAGATTTCACTAAAATATTTAAGCTCCCTTTGATTTATAAACCTCTTTAATTTATCTGCCATAAAAAGTAACAAAATGTTTTCAGCAATGATATCACTGAAACAAGTATAAACCTTCCTAAGGTGACTACTAGGAAGGGTAACTTTCATTTGAATAAATTAATTCTAGTGTGGTCACTAAAATAAATAAATAATTATACAAGTAGCTTAACTTATAGTCACTTTTTGTTTATTTTCCAGTTATTTTCATAGTTGACACTTCATAAATTCTTTAAATGAATGTGAAATAACAGTGTACCAAATCAGTAATGTTATTTACATATTTTGTATGCCCTCTTCTAAATGACTCAGGTTTCTACTGATTTTTTCTTTGGGTTAATGAATTAATTTTCTATCAATATTTCTCACACCATATAGTATTATAGACCAATAAAAGATCTATGCTAGGCAGTGTGGACGATACAGATTTTACTGTTGCTTGCGTACTCAGTGACTAGCACGGTACTTGGCCCCCAAATATTTACTGGTATATAGTTAGTAAATACTAGTTTCACAGATGAGTGAATAAATGATATAAAATTACCTACATAATTATTATATATAATAGAAATTATATACATAAAATTAAATTTTATGTATATTACTCCTGTTACTTATGTATACAGTATTATTCCTGTTGCATATATATTATTGGCCCAGACTACCCAAGACTTGGTGGCTTAAATCAATAACAGTCACTAAAGTTGTTCCTAAATTTGCAATTTGAACAGGGCTCAGTGGGATAAGCTTCTCTACTTGACTACTTTATGCAATGTCAGCTGGTCTGGCTTGAAATCCAGGTTAACTGGGAGGCTGGAGTTTGGAATCACCTGAACATTCATTCATTCACATGTGTAGTGGTGCTACTGGCTGTTTGCTGGGACCTCAGCTGGGGATGACATCTAGAAAACTGCGTGGATTGCTGACAGCATATTGTTTTTGTTCCAAGAGCTAGCATTCAAGTAATCTAGGCAAAGTGCATGATATTTTATGACCTAATCTTGGAGGTCAGATGGGATTATTTCTGTTGTACTCTCTTGACAAGGCAGTTGCAAAGGTCGGTCTGATTTCAAAGGCACAGGAAGTAGAAGCCACCATGAAATGGGAAGAATGTTAAGGTCACACTGGCAGAAGAGCATGTAGAGTGGGATATATTACAGTGTCCGCTCTGGAAAATATAATCTGCCATATCTTATATGTATAAATACATAATTTTATTTATAAACTGTACTTCTATTTACTAACTTTGGGAAAGTACTGTTCCCAAACAGAATTTACCTGCTAAAGGGATTCTATCTGATCCATTTATTGTTTATTTTCTCCTTACTGTTTCTGCTCATTCTCTCTTCTCTTAAATATGGTCCTCTGTCCTCCCAAACCTTTCCTAACATCCATTCAAAGTCTAGCCCAAGGCTTACTTCTATATTAAGGGTTTTCCTCCCTCCCTCCCTCCCTCCCTCCCTCCCTCCCTCCCTCCCTCCCTCCTTCCTTCCTTCCTTCCTTCCTTCCTTCCTTCCTTCCTTCCTTCCTTCCTTCCTTCCTTCCTTCCTTCCTTCCTCTCTCCCTCCCTTCTTTTCTCTCTTTCTCCCTCTTCCCCCTCTCCCACCTCTCTTTCATCTGGGGAGCATTTATTCTTATCTCTGCTCATTTTGTCACTAACCATTTACTATGGATAAATACCTTTTTTTTTAACAGTTCAAAGAGCAAATAACACATTGCTGACTAATAGGTGTTTCATGTTCACTAACTTCATAAAATGTTTGTAAATTATATACTCTTTCTCAACCAAAAAAATTACTTCTAATTTTATCTAAAATATACTCTTTGTATCACTAAATTTAAATGAACAAAACTTCAAGTTCAGCTAAAAGTGAAAAATGCCATTCTGTATCTATATCTATATTATAACATTTAAAAATAGAAATGGCCTTTCCTGAAATTTAACTCTGAAAGAAATGAATGATGACAACTTATCTGCATGTGACAAATTTGAGGTACATATTGAGATTATATTTCCCCCAAACAGACTGTAAATCAAATAATTAAAAAACTGAAACTAAAATAACAGTATTTTCTCCTCTAAATCCATAATGTTTCATAAGAAATTGAGGTAATTTTGCATAAGTATCATTGAAGTAGTAAAATTTTATTTAGTTCTTAAAACAAACTACAAAACCTTAAGCAATGCAAAAAGCATTAATCTGGGGAGGAGGTTGGTAATGGAAGGGAGAAACCAACTTGAAATTGCATAGAATTAATTGCATTATAGGAATTAACTGAAAAAAAAAAGAAACAATTTGTTTATCTTGTGAGGAATCATTTAGAAATGCTTTACGAGTGAACAGGAATCATGTCTTCTGTGCACCATTTCCCTAGCACCTGGCAAATGTGTCCCATGAAAGGCGCTCAATAGAAGATTTTGCAGAAAGAATACAATGCCTTCTGACCACATATTTTCTGTTCATTTAAAAAATCCATTGTGTTCTTTGGCTTTTAATGGTCGCGATATTCTTGATCTTATAGTCCAGAATATGTGAGCTTTGGGACTATTTTCAAAGTTTAGGTTTTGTTTTCTGAATTCAGGAATCACGTGGAGATTACTACTTCATTTGTGCGCTTCAAGTCTTTCCTACATACTGCTACCATAATAGTGATCATATATCATATGATGTCATACCATGTCATATCATATCTATTTACTTTGACAAATATTTTCCTCACAGCTTTGACTGCAAGCAACTCAAGGTGGTACTTTTGCCCTACATTCTATACTCCTAGAACAAGACAGTCTTTCCTAAAATTTGATTCTGTGTGGTGGCAGCTGCTCATTGACTGTTTAGAGGATGAATGAAAATCTGAATCAAGTGTTTGCCCTTTTCATTTATAGTTTTCTTTATTAAATTATGTCATCTCATCAAAATAATGTTAACATTTGAGAACTTATTAAACCACTTTGCCTATTCAAATAATATTTGAACTTAATATTAGAATAGATACATTTTCCAGTTTAGCTCAACATCTTCTCTGTAAAAATTAGCATGTTACCTCTGTGTATATTGTGGTGTTCTGTTTCTTTTTTAAAGAGACAACTAACTTTACAAATATTTTCCATTTATTTAAGTACCATAAATTCCTTAGGAGATTTGACCACACCTATCATATTATCTCTTTCAATCCTAGAATTGGGAAGGAGCAGGCCATACCACATCAGAATCCAAAGTGACATGCATGGGTTTATTGTAAATGTTTAGGAAAGTTTCTGGGTCTATGAATTCCTCAGAGTTGTGCAAGTACCTTATTATTTCTTCTGGGAGGAGCAATTCGGGTACAGCTTGGTGCAAGTTATCACCTGGCCCTTTACTGCCCACTTTCACAGTCTTAAAAAAGTAGAGTGCTAGTTTATGAATTTGGGTGAGAAACTCTGTGATGACCTCCTCCAGGGACTCGGACTGTGTCACATCTTCAAGATATATGACTGGCACTTTTATTACCGAAACATACCATTGCATGAAGACCCTTGTTGGGATGTTATGGGACACGACTATAATTTTCATTCCTTGGATAAAAAATTCCTCTTTGTTCTTATCATGGTTAACATAATCTAAAAGAATTCTGTAAAGAGTACCACTGGAGGACTCAAGGATATGCAGAATGAAAGTATGATATATGAGCAATAATCCTGTCACTGCCTCTTTCAAGTGATGCTTCATAATCGACTGAAACACTTGTTCATAGTACTCAGTAATATCTTTTTTTTCTGTTCCAGCTGTTGTCTTGGCCACTAGAAATATCCGATCAAGAAGGAACTTATTGATCTGGAGTCGTTGCTTCTCTTCCTGAAAATGAAAGTAGTTGCTTCGTGGAACTGGTGGCGGTAGAAGAGGTTCCAGTGGAAAAGGCTTTTTGCTGACCTTTCGGGGATGCACTGAGAGGGACATGAGTCCTAATTATTCTTCTAAATGATTCCAGTTGGTGGCTTATAGCAATATTTACACCATCAGGATACTGCTTCAGTGATGAACTCTTATTTTTATTTATTCTGACAAAAATAAAAAGAGTTTACTCAGTGTGTCAAATATGACTGAACAGCAAAATCCTTTCCTAGTGTTATCAACAAACGATGCCCTGGAAATGAAAGAGAATGTTAAAACAAGACTCAAATTCTAGAGATTTTTTTTTTTTTTTTACAGTTAAATAACTAACACTTGAATCCTAGGAAAAAACTCTGCAATGAACTGGGGAGTGGGGAGAAGAGAGAACTTGATCTACAGAAGTTCATTGTTTTTGTTTGCATTATTTTCCCCTTCAATTTATAGTTCATTTTTTCTTAACCCCCATCCTTGAATCTCACACACACACACACACAGAGACTGATATATATATATCTCAGAGAGAGAGAGCGAGAGAACGAGCAAATATCCACTGACAGTCACTAACAGTAGCATTGACATCACATTAAAACATCTTTTCATTTATGTAATAGTAATTACAGTTTGTCTTTGATTTGTCATTCTTTTTTAAAAAAATGATATTTTTATGATCATTTTCTAATTTCTTTTATAATACTGGTCAATAATTTTTTTTTTAATTCGAGGATTTCTTCGGTCCTAATTGTCTTATTTAACTCTTATTCGTACACTGAGAGTTCATAATGTTGATTGGATAATAGCAGTAAACCTTGGAAGTAACTAGTTTTGATTCTTTGTTTATTGTTCTATCAACAAACCTCAGAAATGGTTCTGCATTTTCTTTTCCTTTCTCTTTTTCTTTTTTGCTGTTGGTGATCAAATAAAAAGTTTCTTTACTTTTACTCTTACAAACCTTTTCTTCTCTCCAGGTCAACTTAATATTTGTCGTTCTTCAAGTGCTTTTCTTTCACTTGTCCACGAGGCCCTGCCTGTCCTCCATCCCTCTTCCAGCTGCCTGTGTGTTCTGGGTGCTCTCAGCTCTCCTGTGTTCTATTCCAACTTCCATAGTGACCCAGTGGATCAGAATGTCAGTTGTGTTAAAGGGCCAGAGGATTCTGGCAACTTCCATTTCTCAATTTAATAAGGCTTTCTTAACAGACCCCTCAATATCCCAGTAGAGGCAATGAGGGCTTCATTTCGAGAGTGACTAATTTTTAGATAGGTGCCTTTGTAAGTAAGATAGACGGGGGACCTGGGCATCTTCCCAGACATATTCTTTTTGTCCACAATTTAGAGGAGAGAAAACTAGAGTTATCGCCTTGAGCACAATTCAAACATGCTCTCAGTAACACCCTTACTCTGTCTACCTAAGGTAAAGAGATATTAATTAACTAATTAAAGATTACTCTTAGAACACATATCAAATTTTGTGTAATGGTGACTCTGTTACAAGCATACCTTGGAGATATTGCAGGTTTTGTTCCAGGCCACCACAATAAAGTGAGTATTACATTAAAGTGAGTACAACTATTTTGGTTTCCCAGTGCATATAAAAGTTATGTTTACACTATACTGTATTCTATTAAGTATGCAATAGAATATGTCAAAACATGTGCATAACTTTATTAAAAACACTTAATTGCTAAAAATAGCTAACGATCATCTGACCCTTTAGCTAGTCATAACTTTTTAGCTGGAGTCTCACCTCATTGTTGACGGCTGCTGACCACTGTGGTGGTGGCTAAAGGTTGGGGTGACTGGTAATTTCTTGAAACAATACAATAATGACATTTGCTTTATCAATTGACTCTTTCTTTCATGAATGATTTCTCTCTATAGCATGCAATGCTGTTAGCATTTTACCCACAATAGAACTTCTTTCATTATTGGAATCAATCCTCTCAAACCCTGCAAAAGCTTTCAACTGGGTTTGTGTAATATTCTCAATCCTTTGTTATTATTTCAACAATCTTCAGAGCATTTTAACAAGGAGTAGATTCCATCTCAAGAAACCACTTTCTTTGCTTATGCATAAGAAACAATTTACTGTTCACGTTTTATCATGAGAGTGCAGTAATTCAATCACATTTTCAGGCTCCATTTGTAATTCTAGTTCTCTCACCATTTCAGCCACATCTTCCTCCACCAAAAGCTTACATCCCCTAAAGTTATCTATGAGGGTTGGAATCAGCATCTTTCAAACTACTGCTAATGTTGGTGCTTTGACCTCTTCCCATGAATCACAAGTATTCTTAATGGTATCTAGAACTGTGAATCCTTTCTAGAAGGTTTTTAATCAACTCTGCCCATATCCATGAGACGAATCATGGCAGCTATAGCCCTATGCAATGTATTTCTTAAATAATAAGACTTGAATATTAGAATTACTCCTTGATCTATGGACTGCAGAATGGAGGTGTGTTAGCAGGCATAAAAACAACATTAATTCACTAAACTTTTTTTTTTTATCCTCACCCGAGGATATTTTTCCATTTTTTGTACAGATAGAATGGGAGGGAGGGAGAGGAAGGGAGAGAGAGAGAAACATCGACGTGAAGGGACACATCGAGTGGCCGCCACCAGCACGACCAACCAAGGCTGGGGACAAACTGCAATCGAAGTACGTGCCCTTAGTGGGAACCGAACCCAGGTCTCTCTGGACCGCAGGCCGATGCTCTAACCGCTGAGCCAAACTGGCCAGGGCTCACTATACATTTTTATCAGAGCTTTTGGAGGGCCAGGCACATCATCAGTGAGCAGTATTATTTTGAAAGGAAACTCTTTTTCTGAGTAGTAGGTCTCAACAGTGGGCTTAAAATATATAACAGACTATATAGTAAACAGGCTTTGTTCTGTTTATAGAGCACAGGGAGAGTAGATTGAGCATTTCTTAAGAGCCTTGGGATTTTCAGAATGATCTAAATGAGCATTAGCTTTTGGTGTGGCTCAGTGGTTGAGTGTCAACCCATGCACCCAGAGGTTGCTGGTTTGATTCCTGGTTAGGGCACATGTCCAGGTTGTGGACCAAATCCTCAGTGGGGGGGCATGCAGGAGGTAGCCAATCGATGTTCTCGCTCATGAATGTTTCCATTTCTCTCTCCCCTTCCCTTCTTCTCTCTCTAAAATCAATAAAGAAAAATAAATAAGTAAATAAACATTGGCTTCAACTTAAAGTCACCAGCTGCATTAACCTCTAACAAGAAGATCAGCTTGTCCTTTGAAGTTTTGAAGCCAGGCATTAACCTCTTTTCTCTAACTCTGAAAGTATTGTATGGCATCTTCTTACAATGTAAGGTTTCATTTACACTGAAAATCTGTAGTTTAGTGTAGCCACTTTAATTAGTGATCTTTGCTAGATTTTCTGGATAACTTGCTGTTTCACCTTGCACTTTTATGTTACATAGATGGCTTCTTTCCTTAAATCTCATGAATTTTCCTTGAATCTCAGACTTTTGTTCTGCAGCTTCCTTACCTCTCTCAACCTTCATAAAATTGAAGAGTTAAGGCCTTTCTCTGGATTAGTCTCTGGTTTTAAGAGAATGTTGTGGTTTGTGTGATCTTGTACCCAGACTACTAAAACTTTTTATCAGCAGTGGGCTCTTATTTGTGTGTTCACTGGGGTATCACTTTTAATTTCCTTCAAGAACTTTTCCTTTGCAGTCACAGCTGGGCTAAGGTGTTTGGTGCAAGTGGCCTAACTTTTAGCCTATCTGGGCTTTCAGTATGCCTTCCTCACTACACTTAATCATATCGACCTTAGGGATATTAATTGGCCCAATCACAACATTGTTGTGTCTCAGGGAATAAGAAGGCCAGAGGAGAGGTAGAAAGACAGGGAAACAGCTGGTCAGTGGAGCAGTCAGAACACACAAAGCATTTGTTGATTACGTTTGCTGTCTTATATGTGTGTGATTCACGGCACCCCCCAAACAATAGTAACACCAAAGATCACTGATCACCTATCACCACAGCAAATAAAATAAGAATGAAAAACTTTTAAATATTGTGAGAACTACCAAACTGTGACAGAGACATGAAGCGAGCCACTGTAAAAAGGAACTTAATTGTGATTTTTCTCCCCGTGTGGTTTTTGTTTCACTTTTCTTTTATATCTTGATTCCTCCAATATAAATGTAATAGAAAAATGATATTCTTTCATCATTGTAATTTCCATATAAACCATGCAAAATATCACTAAGCCATCCCTTTTAAAAGAGTGATAATCTTGCCCGGCTGGTGTGGCTCAGTGGTTGAGCATTGACCCATGCACCAAGAGGTTTCCAGTTCAATTCTCGGTCAGGGCACATGCCCAGGTGGTGGGCCAAATCCCCAGTGAGGGGGCATGCAGGAGGCAGCCAATCAATGTTCTTTCTCATCAATGTTTCCATCTCTCACACCCTTCTCCCTTCCTCTCTCTCTAAAATCAATAAAGAAAAATAAATAAATAAAAGAGTGATAATCTTGCCCTGGCTGGCTGGCTTAGTTGGTTGGAGTATCATCCCATACACCAAAAAGTGGCAGGTGCCATTACTAGTCATGGCACTTACTTAGGTTACAGGTTCGATTGCCGGTTGGGGCACATACAGGAGGCAACTAATCTCTCTTTCTCTCTTTCTCTTCCTCTCTCTCTAAAAATCTATAAAAACATATCCTTGGGTGAGGATTTTTAAAAAGTGATAATCTCTTAATTGATGTTGACTTAAAATATATGAAATTGTCATTTCTATAACTTAAAAACTCTCTGATATTGACAGTTTTGTGTGATTTCACCTAATATATTTAGAAACAGTAGTTCTTACCCCAATAGATAATAGTTTTACCTTCTTTTTCCCAATGTATTTTTCCATTATTTCAATGCATTGCTTGGTTGCTTGTTCCAAATTTTACTTCCATTGTCACATAGCTATCTAAAACATTTAAGGGCATCTTATTTTGTTTCTTTGACTTTCATGAACCATACTCTTACATGTCCAGAGTACAGTTTTGAGCAGATAGGAATAGAATCAGCACATAGTTTGATTGACTAGTGT